CAAGATAGTGAACATTGATTCTGGAAGTGAAGGACAGTCTCAACTCCTGGATAACTTTTTAGAGTCCTCTGTCCAGGCTGCCAAAGAGCATCAGATGTCCAACTTAAGAGATGCTGTCAATGAGGATGATGATGCAGATACATTGGTTGGAGAGGACAATGATATAGGTAACTTGAATGATGTGATGAGTGATGAAGAAATACAATTAGCCAACGCCAAACAACATGCAGTGGAAGAAAAACTTACTTTAGCAGATAATAACCACCAGGTTACTGATGAAAAAGAATGGAGTCATCGCACAGACCAGGAGACACTGGATGAAGGCAGTGATAGTGACGACTCTATTGGCAATGTATCTCTTGAAGATGGCTACTTTGCCATAGAATTCCCAGTATCTCAAAAGAAAGGCAGTCTCAGTATGTTAAACATAGTGGACATAGAATCAAACAAGTATCTTCAAAATTTCTCTAACCTAAAAAATGTTGCTAGGCATGAGAAATCAAAATTTTTGCAGATGAACCCCAGAAGAGCTCCTTCCTATTCTAGTAGTCACTCACACAGATCATCGAGAGCCCTAAAGACTGGCCCTAGTGGTGCTCCAACAGATCATGTCAGGACGAGATCATTTAGCAACTTAACTTATGAAGAAATTTCTCACTTCCAAAACAGAACATCTGCTAGTTCCATAATTGGTGAGAAAGACATTGATAGTGTGTATGCTGTAGTCAGTAAAGTGAAGAAAAATAAGAACAAAGAAAAGAAACTTGATCTGCATGAAGAAGATCAGGCTCCCATGTTAATCCCTTTTGATGGACAGAAGGACAGTGTTCCAACTGAAGATGTTATGGAACAAAATCTGCCTAGCAGGATGCATTCTCCACACAATTTAAATGTATCAGCTCACAAATCTAGTTTACAGCAAAGGCGGAATTCACAACAGCAAAATAAATCTGAAGGCAGAGACCCATACAGCAGCTCCCCACCCATAAATGGTAAGAAATCATCAAACATGCAAGAGAATTATGTTTTAAATTTGTCAACACCTTTTGAGTGCAATACAAAAGAGGATAATGACATTTGTGCTGAGTCCAACATTACTTCTTTGTCTTTTACTCAGCAAGCCCATGAGACTGACACTTCAATGTCCAGTGAAGATCTGCCACCTCCTCTGCCGCCTAGACCACCATACTTCACACCGCTTGGAGGCTTTCTCTCAGATGATAGGCTCCAGTCAAAGTCAGAGCATGCACAGCCTGTAAAGTCACCTCCAGTTCCAGCTCGGAGGCACCAGGCCCCTCCCGCAGGCAATGATTGGCACCCAACTGCTAGACCACGGCGAAGCCTTTCAAAAAAAAGCTTGAACATGGAAAGTGGAATAGACAACACAGTCTTGTCTGCCCAAGATCTTTACCCCGACGTGTTGCAACCAGCCTCCTCTTCGTCCTCATTTCCATCCTCCATTGATGTCTCCAGCGCTGTTGGCAAGTTGTCCCATCAACGAAGTATTATCATTACTTATCTTTGATCTCATCAACAGTTATGTATATACATGTAGTATATTGTAATTGTCTAATATATACCACACTTGTCTGGTTGAAAGTATATTTCTTGAATATAACGCTTTTATTTAAAACCCTTATTCTATTTTCATGTAGTACACACTGTATCTATATCTGGGTAGGAGTATAAGCAGTGGACATCCATAAAAATAATTATGTATATAATAGATCCTGTTATTGTTACATTGTCTAAAAACTTCACAAAATGCATACATTGTAATAGAACTACTGCCTCTTATAATATTGTGTAAATAATAATATAAATATAACATGTATGTGGGCTATGGAAAGCTGTTCTTGTATTGAGATGTAGCCAATGAACTGTGATGTTTGTAAAATATTTCTTGGTCTTACTTAATGTACATATAATCTTGTAGTTACTTACCATTGTTCATTTAATGTTTCAAGTTCAGTTAGTTACTTCCCTATAACTTTACGAAAATAGCCATATCTCCATTAGAAGATACCAAAGGTTTGACATTATGCCATGAAAATTTTGATTTTTGAGAACTTTTATATTTAAAAGTGAATTATTACTGTTATGACATGATTAGGAATTAGTTATTTGTTTCGGGAATAAGGGAAAGTTTTACTTAGCGACAAGTGACGTGACAGATCTTTAAAAAACAAGAATGCTCTAAGTGACGCTACAAAGAGGACGCTTCTTGTAGAGCAGTACAATAGATATACTGATTTACGGACATAGATGACATTGGACGATCTCTTCTTGATTATTAAATATATTTGTAGAACAACATCAGCGTTGACTACATATTTTGATTGTTTTGGCCTTTCGCCGGTGTTATTGAAGTAGTTCGAGTTCAGTGTTACTTTCAGTCAGACGTAAATCTACACTAGTTATATTGCAAAGAATCAACACCGCGCGGAAGCCTTAAAAATTACGTACATGTAATATAAATAATACCTGTCTTTCATTGGAGTTTTGTTCCCTTCCAGAAAAGTTGAATATTGAATAGCCTGGTTTGCTAAATGCCATTCAGTTTATAGGTATTAACCTCACTACACAACTGATGTGCCATTTCTAGAAAATGCTGTATTTTTGTATGTTGACTTGTATCTGCTGTGTTATCATGTTTTATCATGATATTTTATTGTCAACTTTTTAAAAATTTCAAGTTCTGGGAATGAATGATTTGTGGATTATGGACTGGTCCAAATGGTAATAGGAATAATTAGTGCTTATAATGTAGGAATAGTATGGAAATAAGAATAACTAATCTCTATCAGTGGAAAAAATGTAAATAGTTGATTTTATATGTTTTGGAATACATTTCAAATTACAGTAACCTTAGATATATCTACACAATTTTTAAAATAAAAACTTTTTTTTAAAGGAATTTGTTAAGCTTAGAAAAATTCAAAACAAAAAAAGCTTGTGATGTATGTGATATATCATTTTATGATCAGTTTACTTCCTGCAATGTACACTATAATTACATACCGGTACTACTAGATTATTATAATGTGATTATTATAATGTGAGTACTTTTCACAATGTATTTTTACTTGTCCGGTGTTGTAACTCTTTTTACTCCTAACTGACGATACCGACGTTGATTTTACCACATTATATTAAATTAATTTTTGACTTTATAAACTTTAATTTGTGTTATATACAAATAACATGCATTTTACTATAATTATATACCTTAAATAACTTTTCCTGTTTACTTACAAAAAAATTATTGAAGTTTAATCAAAACTGGTTAGTGAAACACAAAAGAACAAAATGAATAATTCCATCAGGACGTGGAAATTAATTACGGAGAGAAAGAGGTAAGCCAGCTGTTTTATTCATAATGGAGAAGTCATTTATGCACAAAGCACTATTTCCATTTTGTTTCATATTTGCATGCTGTGATGTCTAGAACATTTGTTTCACTCAAATAAATATGAACTCTTTCTCAACAGGACTGTATATTTTTAAAATATTCCTTTTGCTTTACTCAATATTCAGCTTTTAAATACAATTATTTTATTTATTTAGTTCAAATGTGTTTCCATAAGTTATTTTGATAGATTAAAATAAAAGATTACTGTGGTAAATAATAATAATAAGGCTTTTCTTTGAGAAGATTAATGAGGAGTACAGTATTTAACATGGCTGCACAGTCCAAGCTGCAACCTACATTCTTAGCCACATCTATTGCAGACATAACCTTTGTCTGGCCGTGGCTGATGTGAGGTTTTCTTTTCACCATCTTCGTCTGTTGTCTGTAGAGGTTTCCTTTCCATCTCAAATTCTTATGTAGCCTATGTAAGAAACCTCCAGATACTGCCACTTGGTGCTCTTGTCAATGTACGTTTAAGCAAATTAGTGCCTAAGCTTGTCTTTAAAATGTTTCCAGGAGGCACTTTATGCTGACCACCTTTTATCTTACCAAAAATACTGCCTTTGGCATATGATGGTCCCCCATGTGAGATACAAGCCCTGTTCAGTGTAGCTGTTGAGCAACTAGCTGTCCCTCTATACTGTTCATACTGGCATTCACTAGAACATCTCTATTAGAGGTGTGGTCTTAAAAGCCATTGTATGCTCATGATGAAGCATATGTTCATGATGGAGTGCAGGCATCTTTGGTCAAAGCATTCAAGAATAAATCTGGGGTTATATTGTCAATGCTCATCTTAAGATCTGCAGGTCCATTTTAGAAATCATGTTTAATGGAACTTGATGCTTTCATTAATGGTTGATGAAAGAAGTTTGTCTATTCCTCTTGTTTGAACTCGTATTTATATTCAATGTTGTTGTTTTTCTTACCAAACTGCCACCATGTTCTTTATTTATTTCCAGTGAATATAGGCCAAAACCTTTTATTTTTAAATTTGTCATTTTATAAATAATATTCACATACTTATATGTTATACATTTTTAGGGGCTTCCATAAGAAAACCTATCTATTGTTTTTGGGCTGTTTGTTTTTCTGTATGTCTTGTTTCAATCTCAAAAGTACAAGTGTTTCACCATCATTGCTCTCATTATAGGTGTAGTGGCCAGTGGGTCTTCTGAAAGTGTTCCAATTTTTTTATATAGTTATGTCTGTATATTGTATTTTTAGACTTAACTTAGATCCTCTCTTGCTATTTGGCGAGTGACTTCTCATTCGACCTGAAGTTCATTATCTTACAACTTCTTTTAAAGTCAATTTTCTTGTTATTCGGGCACAGTGACTGAGTGGTTGATTACCTTCTGAACCTGAGGTCTTAGGTTTGAATCCTGGTGAAGACTGGAAGTTTGAATTTCTGGATTCTTAGGGCACCACTGAGTCCACCCAACTCTAATGGGTATCCTACTCTAGTTGTGCTGGCAACATGACACACTGCTAATTAACCGTTGGCCAAAGAAACAGATGACCTTAACATCTGAAAGGAGAACCTTACTTTTAAGTTACACAGGGACAGCCCTGTTTCCATGTTCCTTGTTTCAGCCTCGCTAAGTGGTCGAGAGCGGGTTTTATAATTGATTTTTGTTTGGTGATATGATCTCTGTATGCAACCATGGCCACGACCACTCATCCACATTCAAACTGTTTTTTTAAACAAATTCTTCAAACATCATTTTCTATTTTGACCAATGTCTTACTCATTATTAGCATATGTTTAAAATATGTGCGTAACTGCAACAGCTAGCTTAAGGTCTATTGAAAGTATGCCTTTTTTTTTTATTTTTTATTTTACATTTATGCATATTTGTGTGTCATTTTTAAAAGAAGATACAAATTAAGTTCATGTTATTTAAAGGCTGTACAGCATCTTGATTTTTTTACAGATTTAAAGGTTACAAAAGCCATTGAATGAGTCCTCATTTTTGTATACCTATGATGATAATTGTCTTAAAATTATTATTTGAGACTGATGCTGTTAAAAATGATTTATGTGTGAATTGACATGATGGCTGAACTAATGTGACTGCATATGAAGTACTGTTGAACACAAAATTCTATTGTTACTTTGTTAATTATTTATCATGAAAAATTATTTTTTTTTCTTAGTAGTAAGCCTTCTTATCCAACCAAATAAGTTACAACACAATTATATTTTTGTAAGGAACTAATGATTTTTAAAAATCATTTGTATTCTTTTTTAGCTTTGATTTTCTATGTGTTAAAACAATGTGTTCATTCATGTATAGTCATTTATTTCCAGATTATGTTACAAAAGCATAACTTTCTGCAGTTATAATAAACATTAAACATAATTAAAAACAACTTTTGTCTTAGTTCTTATTATCTTATCTTATTTGTCTTGTTTAAGTTTTTTTTCACTTGGTATTTAATTTGTATTATCAACATGTCGATGTTTAACCATGCTCACATCTGCAGTATTTTCAGTTTTAACATCACTGCCTGGTTTGCGGATTTAGACATTAAAAATAAGACAAAATTGATCAAATCCTAAACACTACTAGTAAGGTCATTGGCAACAAACAAACAGCACTTGGACATATATTTGAGAAAAACTGCTAAGAAAGCTATAAGAATTTAAAGCCTTTAAAAACACCCTATGGTTTATGCTTTTGACATTCTACTATCACAATGGAGACATTAAGACATCGATCATAAAAAAACTTTTGTTTTCTTTGAACAAACTGTAACTTACTGTTGTAAATTTCACTAGTAATGTCAAAGAGAAACTGGGCTATGAATGTATATTGTATGTAGTATGCAATCATACAAATTGTTTGCATTAATAATGAATTGTTAAGTGTTATGCACAATTGTAAAACAAATGTTGTCAAAGATAAATATTATTGTTGTCATTTATTATTATTATTTAAAATTCAAAGAGAAAAGTCTTACAAATATTATTTAGCAGATGCAGCAGTTTACTGGACATTTTATGTTGTACAATATAAATGGATTTCATTACAAAATTTTATTTTTTATCTTTTTTTTATTAAGTATATAAACCATTAACATTTATATATATATATATATGAAAACATTTACCATAAATAAATAGGAAATCTTATTTTATAAAACTTTGCACAAAAACGATATGTTTATTGACAGACTTTGAACTCTTCTTCGGAGAATGAATGTTGCCAGCATATCTGAATGAGAAAAATAAATAAATGGAACAGAATTGAAAACATTCTACATTTGGTAATGTCCTGGTAGGAGGCAATTACTCCATAATGGAGAGTTATCAAGTATATAATTGTAAAATGTTTTATTTTACATGTTTCGAATGTTTCTCCAGAGCTGAAAATAATCTACTTCCTGATCCAAACCTCCTGCAGGATGAGGGGGGATGGCTCAGGCAGGGTGTGAACATGGGACCATCAAGATGACTGAACGACAGTCCAGCGCACATATCATGTGACCAGGCAGCCATCTATGTATGTCAATAGAACATACAAATATAGCTTGAGTTGTGCTTATTTTAAAGCAATACATTGTTGCAATAAAGATACTTAATGTTATGAATATAGAAAATAAACAGCATTTGAATTTAAAAAAAAAACAACTCTCTGGCCAACAAAAAGATGATAATTCATTCATTCATACTAATGGTAATAAATCATACATAATTTTATGCTAGTAACAGAAGCAAAAATTTTATATTAATACACATCGGAATATAAGAATAAGTTCAGTCTTGCTTAATTCTGGTAGGTTCTGCTAGATAATTGTACTACAAAAAGTCATTACATCAAGCAAGTTTGGGTTAGGGATAGATAATGCATTACTCATTTTCATTTCAGTCTTCTAAAATAGAAAGTTTATCACTTCAAAAAAATGAAGATATTATGTCATTACATAATGATGTGAATGATAAACAATTAGAGATTCTGACATTCAAATGTACATAGAACATAGTATCTTTTACATCAATAACTAGTACATCAAATACAAATCTTTTACTGAACTGGTAATACCTGAAATCAATAAGTGCAAACTTGAATTTTAACATTATGGAAAAGTAACATTTGATGGGACACATTTATTCTATTGCTTTAGGGCTTAAACACTTATCTCATCTTATAAATTAAAGATGTGTTATTTAGAGAATTATGACACTGCTAAATCAAGAGAGAGAGCATTTCAACAATTTTTGTTTTTGGTGATGGATTTTAGGAGTCAGTTATAGAGATTGGGACTTAAACAAGTAATTCTATGCCAAACTAAGAGTCCACCACTTAATAAGGTTGTGACAGAATGTCACATGAGGTTTGGGGGAATGTTCTCCAACAAAATGAATTACCCATACCAAGAATTGTGATGAAACAGAGGCCATTGCAAGGAAAGCGCAAACAGGGACGTCCTGACATAACTTGTCACCAAACTTTCATGGAAGACCTCAGAGCAGTGGACACCAGGTGGGAAGAGGCTTCATACATTGCTAGTGACAAATCTTTGTGAAGACAGCTTGCCACCCAATGAGCCGAACGGCATGGGAGGATCTAAGTCTAAGATTGGAAGTTCAGATTGTTGTCATGATGGTACAGAGTTTGAAATCAGCTAGCCGCCTTTCTCTGCCATCCTGCATGGGAGGTCTGGACTAAAAGTAAAAAAAATAAAGTTCCCTTTCAGACCTTGGGTTTTATGGGGTGAGTGATGTAAAGGTCATCTGTTTCTGTGGCCCACAGTTATTGAAGGTTTCATATGGCCAGCACAATGACCAACCACCTTTACTTTTCCCTAACTAATGTCAGGTACCCATTAGAGCTAGGTGGACTCAGAGGCAACCAAAGATCCTGAAATAAAAAATCCCAGTCTTCGAACCCGTACCAAGTGCTTTACTTCTAACCCAAAGCGCCTCCGTAATCTAGACTAGGAAATAATAATCTTCTTTCTGAAGGAACAACTGGGACTTATAAAACAAAAGAGTTATTAATAGATAAGGAAACTTGAAGCACATAGTATAATGTAAAAAGTTTAAAGTCCATTTTGGACCATGCAGTATGCAGAAGTAAAGGTCATCTGTTTCTGTGGTCCCACAGTTAATAAGAGTGTCATAACAACCACAACAACCAACTGCATTTACTTTTCCCCAACTAATGTCTGGAGCTGAGTGGACTCAGAGGCACCCTAAATACCCCCAAAATTACAAATCTAAGTCTTCAAAAGGATTAGTATTTGAGACCCTCCAATTCAGAAGTCAAGTACTTTACCACTCAGCCATTGTGCCTCCTAATATAATATATATGCTTTAAATATTGTATAACTATTGGTCTTTATTGATGGTACTGCTTCTGACTTAACAACCCCTTATGTTACTGTTTATTAGTTTGTTGTCACTGCTAAAACGAACAGTGTCACAAGCAGTACAGTTATTATTATGTATGAAGTTTGTTTTATTTATCTTTACATGTTTTACCATATTAACATGTCAACATGACCCAATTATTTAAATGAAATGAGAATGAAGCTTTAAGTTTTCCTAATAGTTGTCCAAATGGAAGATCATTGAAGACTAGAAGATACAGTCAAGAGTTAGATCAGCATTGAACAGCATTATAATAGTAAATCATAGAAACATCAGTTCTTGTTTAATTAACATAAGGAAAACTAGAAACTGATGTTTTACAAAACATCCTATACAGTAAAACAATAAAAAAAAAATAATTATGTCTTGAAAAGAACAACCTGAAATAATTCACATATTATTAAAAGAGTTAGCAAATAAATATTTTTCTAAAAAATCCCCTGAAATTTGTCAAAACAAAAAATATAGTGATTGTGAAACATGGTTTTATTAGCTATATAAGATGAACTAATTACATATAAGACTAATTACAATTGATTCTTGGAAGAAGTAAATGGTAAATGTGTAATGCAATAATGAAAATGTAAGCTGCTTACTTGGAAACAAAATGTCAACTAGTGCTAAATCTCAGTTACCTCCCACTATTTCTAATTATATAATATAAACTGATTATTCCTACTATTTTTTTTTTAACCCTCTTAAAAAAATGGCCTAAATTAGGAAAATGGACATTAAAAAAAATTGACAAAAAATAAAACTAGCCTCCAAAACCTGGATTTCTACTAGAATAAATGGTTTTATCTGTTCTGTTTATTCACTTCCTAGTTATTCAAAATAAACATTTACATGCAAAGAAGTAGATATTCAGAAATGAAAAATGTCCAATAATTTCAGAAATTTCAGAAAGAAAAGATCCCAATGTGGTGCCTATTTTCCATTCCGCAGAAGATGATATTCCACCAATCCGCATTTGATGAAATCACGACAGATTCTATCTGCATCTTTATTCTTGTGTACCAGGGCCTGCAGTATTGAATGTTCAGTGTCTGCTATACATATCACAGAAATGAAATTGGAAAGACTCATTAGTCCTTTGATGCCTACGTTGACATCAAGACCTGAGGAAATGTAAACCAGTAACGGATGAAAGATCCTTTAAGCTCTCTTATTCTATATCATTACCTTGCTAAAGATATATTTGGTCTAAACTATATGCATATTTTACATGACTTAGGTGGATTGTAGTGAATGAAAATTGAAGTTGGCAAGTTGGGGTCTCGCTATGTGTTGCTTCGTCAGCTTTTATTTATGAACTAGGTGGTAAATGTGTCAATATAGAACATCTTAGGAATATATAGGTGGATACTTTCCAGAAGCTAGTTGCTTTCGAAAGTCTGAGTTTAAAGAAATAAAGTGGTATAGGGAATCATAACATTCTCAGGTCAGTTTTGGATATTGT